CGGGGAGCGGAGAGGGGCAGAGCCCAAAAGCCATCCCGGAGGCGCCGCGCCTGCCCCGCGGCGGAGTTGCCCCCGAAGCCTGGTTTTCATAGAAATGCAAATCGCCCGAGGCTGCCTTTCTCCCCGCCGGGAAAGAGGGGTGCAGGGGTGCCTGCCCTCCCCCAGTGGGTCCCCCGGGATTTGGGGGGTGGGTGGAGGTGGCTCTGCAGGGGGGACAACTGGGGTGGGGGGCGGCCAGGCCACACGCAGCCGGGGGTGACCGCATGGGGGGGGACTCTGGGGCTCGGCGACACCCTGTATCCGAGCCGGGAGAATGGGCGCATTTCCGAAAACGCCACGAGGGCACCCACGGGCGGAGAGGCGGCCAAGGGACCTCAGCGTCTACATCTTCTTTCATTTTCATTAACACGTGTAAATTTCAGGAACCACTTAGCACTCAGGGACGCGGAGCAGAGTCCGCGACCCTGGTGGAGACTTCGTTCCCGCGCCAGGGGGGGTCGTTGCAAATGCCCGAGGGGGTATCCCTAAGCCATAAAGGGATTTCAGCCTAGCATGTGCTCGCTCAAAAAATAAAATAAATAAAATAAATGCCCGAAAATTCCAGCAGCAGCCCAAGATGGTGGCCAGCATTTCCTTCATCCTGTCCTCCTCGCCTGGGGGATCTGCGGGTTGTCTTCCTACCTTGGCCAATACATCCTTTCAGGGATCCCCAACCCCCCCTAACCCCCCACGCCCATCCCGGCAATTTAAGAACTAGGAAAACGCCCTGAATGGAAGGCTACAAAATAGTGGTCTCTGTCCTGACTTATTTTTTAATTAAAAAAAAAATTAAATCGCTGGAAATATTAGTCGCTTCTCTTGCCTGTGACAAGACCACGGGAAGCTTCCTAATTGGTTTTGTTGGGGGTATGGACATCTCTGCACCTTTACAATTAGCCCGGGGCTGCATTCGTGAGCCTGTGGGGGGGATGGCAGGGGCTGGCAAAAATTAGAACAATTGTTAAGTTAAAGAAATGGGTGTATTGATCTGGTTTTAAACAAAATCTAGATATATTAGTGGTTATACGAGAGGGAACGCAATGTTATCGCTACCTCAAGAGCCATATAAAAGAATATAGAAAAGTGGGTTTTTAAAAATTTTTGTTCAGATTTAGTCTCTTTGGTGCCTTTTTTTAAAAAATAAAAGGACATTTTGCCAAATCTTAAGGTTTTTTTTGAGAAGTTTTCACACTACTTGCCCCCAATTAAGAAAACTGTTCATTTACTTCTCTCTGAATATAGTTTAGTGTCATCAAACCGCCGTATCCCCTAACACTAAAGGCTCAAAGAAAACGGATGAAAAAGCCCCCTCCCCTTCGCAAGGGTGCACGCAGTCAGACAAGACACCCCCCTCTCAGGGCTGAATCTTCGCGTCCCCCTCCCCCGCCGGGAATTAGGGTTACTAATATTCCGGGTCCAGGAGGGTAATTACCCCCGGCTCACGCCTCGGAAGCGGTGGGTGGCCCGAGCAGGGAGCGCCCACCGCCGTGTCCCCCTCCCCGGGCACCCACGCTCGCGTTGGCCCCGGGCACGCCAGTGCCTCGCAGTAGCAGCAGCCCGCGCACGAGGGCGGCCCGGCTGCCTTTTCATTCATAAAATCCCGACCGGGCGGCTGCCCCGATGATTTATGGGGCTGCGCGCTATCACCGGGCGGCTGCTGCCCCGCCGGGCGAGGGGCCCGAGCCCCGCGGGCGCCCCGGCCCGGCCCGCGGAGGCCGGCGACGGCGAGGGGCAGCGGGTCATAAAGAGGCTCGCCCACTACGGCAAAACGGGCTCCGGGTCCGGGAGGGAGCTTCCCCCTAACCCAGGAGAAAGACAGAGGAAACTGGAATTAGCATGAGCCAATGGGGGCGCGGCGCTGTTACTAGGCGGACCGGGCAGATCTCAACTAGGAACTTCGTTGATTTCCCCGCTCAGGGACGGGCGCAAAAGTGCAAGCCCAGCCGGCGAGCGTGAAGAGCCGTCCAGGAACCCGCGGGGGAGGCGCAGGAATTTGGGGCCTGGCGGGGAGCGCCAGTGGCCCAGCCCCCATCCCGGGGCGCCCAGATACGCGTCCCTGGAGCTGTAGAGGGGTCCGCCAGCCCTGGGCCCTTGAGGGCGGCTGCTTCTAGGAGGGCCGAGGACGCGTTTTTATTTTTTTTTTTCCCAAAGAGAATAGCAACTCTTAAAAACTTTTCTGTTGCAGTTTTAATCTTGCATTGCCTTTTAAAAACCCACCACGAGGCAGGAACTGCGAATTCTGGGCCCATTTAAAGTGCTCTGCGCTTATATCTCGGGGACTATTCGGAGACAAAGGACCAGCGACCCGATCGGGAAGGCACTTGGTTGGTTGGAAAGAAAACCCAAAAGTAACTTAAATCACCTTCCCGCTTTCCTTGCCGCCCACCCGTCCGCAGGGGAGACCGCGGCGGGCCGGAACGGATCTCCGGCCCCGAGAGGGCGAATTCCGCGGCAGGCGCGTTTGCCACCGTCCCTGGCTGTGGGAACCTTCATTCAGGCGGGGGAAGGGAGCGCGTTCATTCAGGAACCGGCCCGCCGCGGCGCCGACCCCTGCACGCACTGCGGCTGCGCGCCGCCCCGAGGGGCGCTTTGGGGAGGGGGCGCAGGGCCCCGTGGAGATCTCCTTCTGGCGTCGACCTCCCGCAGCCGCCCACCCTACACGGGACCGGAGGGGGCGCACCCAGGTGGGGTCACCTGCAGCGGCATACCTGGCGGCGACTTGAAAGGACTAAGCCCTTAAGTCGCTCAGGAAAATGCTTCCGAATGCGGGCCGCGGGGTCCCGGGGCAGTGGGGCCCCCCTTCCCCCACCCTGGTCGCCTCCGAAGCTCCTAGAGGTGCCCGCGCTGCAGCAGCTCCGCCAGGGCTACACGGTGCGGACTCTTGGCGCTCTAAAGCTGCGGGGAGCGC